CGGTCCAAAAAATTGGCTGTTATAGGTACATGCATTTATAAAGATTCAAATGTGATGAAAAACAAAAACGCATGAATATAGTTATAGGCCCAGTAATTCAACCATTTCACACTAATAATATGGGCGTTACAACATTTGTTAATTAGTTTCTAGACACTATAAGACAGGGTTGCTCCAATTGTTCTAGAAATGTAACGAACTTTTATAATTCACCACTTGTTAAGATTAATGCACTTGAACGCTCTGAATGCACTTTTCGTTTTCGGTTTACTCGTATCTATTTAATGAACTTTGCTTAGTGTATATTTTATTTATATACAAAATATTTAGTTTTACGAATGCCAATTGCCTAGTGCAGCCGTGAGCATTGTTATGTGCATAAATTGTAGTCATTGGAGGTTTATGACATTGATTTGTAAAAAAAAAAACGGGTTCAACGTTGAATGCCGCGATGCAGCAGAACGCAAAAACCTCACGGTGTGTAAGTAGGGGTTCAGGGACCGTTATTACGGGAAAAAACGGTTTTGAAGATATCCCTTACAATAGAGAGCCAAATTATACATGTTATGTGATTCTAATTTGGAATTATTTCTTAACCTGTAATAAAACAGAGCTGGAGTCAGCGATTTAAAAGACCGGGTAAGTTTTCTATACCATCGGATTAAATTTGACCCGGGATAGTAAATTTAAACTGCGGCCGCAACCCGAATCGACAGTATTTTTTTTCCAAATTGATATAACTCTTTTTTATGGTTGTTTTAAGTTTGATATCCAGAGGTCAATTGGTGTGTGTTTGTCAGCTGTTTGACATCATTAAAAATTTGGCAGAAGGATTTTGGTGAGTTCACTTTATCTCGAACATAAGTATTTGAGTGGCATAGTGGCATAAACTATTCAGTGAAGGTCGTGAAGTCCACGAGAACTTGCCTTATGTGAGTCATCCATCCACTTCTGTTAGTGACGGTGACATCGAAAAAGTTAAAAAAATTGAACTTGAAAATCGTTGTGATGGCTTCAGAGAGACAGCAGAGGATCTCAACATCTCTTATGGATCAACTCAACACATATTGGTTAATGTTTTGGATATGAAGTGAGTTAATCTTAGACTCGTACCAAAAGACCTTAAGACATTACATTACAGAACTGTCCAATTTAGCGAATGGTGCTCCAAAAATGAGCCGAAACCGAAAAGACCAAAATTTGCTGTAGGCACTGAAGACCATCCCAGCCGGAGCTTATATCAATTGTATGTAAATTGGATTAGGCGTTGGCATGCTTGTATTGGCTCAGGAGTCTATTTTGAGGGGGATAGTAAAGATTTGTATTAAAATACTTAAAAGTTTCTTTTTTGTCATTCCGGGTCAAATATGATATCTTCTTAAAGCTAGAAAGTACAGGTTTTCAACAGATTACTCACTCGCAATTTTCTTTTGTTGTGAGATTGTGTTCGAAGCTCTTATCATAATCTATCAAACAATAAGGTTATCAAATACGAGGTGTGTTCAAAGGAAATGGTGAATTTTGATTTTTTGCGGGCATGTTTATCATGTGCTTGCATTATTAGCCAATTTCGATTGGTAGTTTGTTTTTGACAACAGAAAAGGTTAGTCACATTTTGGTGTGCTCTTCGATTTTTGACTTTTGAAAGAAATGGATCAAAGAATATGTATTAAATTTTGTACTTTTTTCTAATAAGTGTTTATAAGTGGTACAAGCGCTTTACGGAGGGCCGAGAATATGTTGAAGAAAACATCGAAACAGTGAAAAAAATTGTTCTTGAAAAGCGCGAATTAAGGAAGTTCAGTGGATGTTGGCTAATCAATCGGCTCATGCCACTCAATTTTCTCGAATGTTTTGGACATGGCAGCGAAGTTTGTTCCTGATCTTGAGCAAAAGCCATGTCGCATTAGTGTTGGAGCCAAAAACAAAAAAGTCATGCTTTAATCACCGTATTGACCAGATTTGGCTCCCTCCGACTTTTTCCTATTTCCAAAACTGAAGAAACCAATGAAAGGAAAGCGTTTTGCCACAAGTGTATTATATCCGAGGGGGATTACTTTGAAGGGTACAAAATAGATATTGATGAATAAATAAGTACTTAAAAAAAAAATTCAAAATTTACCTTTCCCTTTGAACACACCTCATATGACAGCTGGCCAAATTTTTAAGAAAGCCGCGAGAAATAATTTTCATAATTACTTGCAATATTAACATATGATGTCATTATCTATAAGTAGTAGTATATAGTAGTTTGTACAAGTAAATTATTGTATTTGTTTCAAAGTTCAATTCAATGGAAAATATAACATACCCCTAATGATCATTCGGGCGTATCACATAAGAAAACATTTGGATTGTGAACTGTACACCTAATAAGTGCGACGCCTTTATTACTCAGCTCGCTAGGTGAGGCTCAATGCATTGTTTATACTTATTAAATAATAAGCATCTTAACATGTCCAAATCTTAAATTATAGATCTCTAAGAAACACATCCATATGTAAAATAGTTACAAAAAACGAAAATAAATAGTGTCTCTACTGGATTGCTGCAATAAAAATAACAACTGATGACCTATTTGAAAACAATGAAGCTGGCATAAGAATAAACAAAAGATTGTGGTAATTCACAAACATGATCTACTTAGAAACGGTTAGATGAACATCTAGAATCAACAAAAGTGGTAGGGATGTATGAGATTTTTCGAATCTGTGGCAGTCTTAATAAGAACAGATACATTTTTTTTACTTGTCAGTTCCGTTTGGGTTATTTCTGTATACATATGTATAATATAGCAGGTTAGAAATTTATTTTAGGATAAGCTATTACTTGGACAATCCTGGTGCGAGATGGGATAAATAGTGTGTGTAGCTTTTAATTGTGATAGAAGGATAGAAATCTTCAGTAAGCTCCATCTGAAATATCTTTTTTCAGGGTTCACTGAATTCGAGATCGTCGGTGGAAGAATATATTTCAGTAATCTCATGTACGTTATGAAACTATCCCCGTATGGAGTAGGATCACGTAAATTTGCTCAACCTCAGGGCACAGGGCCGGACGAAGGGAAACTATACGAGGTAAGTTCAGAAAATAAAGAGAATTTTGAAACTTAAAGTTTCGCGGGTTTGGGGAGCCCCATTATCATGCTTACTTTGTCTGTAGCAACCGCTAAGGTTACACGTTATTTTATAACCTTGGCGATTTTTGTTTGTTAAAGGGCAATCGTTTCACTGAAAGACCTAAAGGCTGTCTCAAAAATCGAATCTGAGAAGTGTTTCGACGATTGGAAAAAGCGCTGACATAAGTACATAATAATGAATGGGTACTATTTTGAAGGCGACAACATAAATGTAGACGAATGAATTCAAAAAACGAAAATTCCCGTTATTTTTTGAACACATTTCGTAAACAACAAAAACAAACGGGATTCCTACAAGAAATTGAAACGGTGCCTTCATCATGATGGAAAAATCTAGTTCGGTGATTTTAATGCCAGACCGACAACCGGTCTGGTCGATTTGTTGCAAAATTTACTCTAAAACAAAGTTCTGGCAACGGTCCATGACTGACCGATTTTCCTGTCACCCTAAACCTGCTTGCCAGGCACAAGCCTAAGGCACCACACTGCATGGATAAAAACCGATGAACCGATGATAAAACGAAAAACCGATATACCAAATCAATCGTACAGTTGTCTACAAAGGCTTGAACCCGCTTATGGGAACTGTTATAAGTTTTTGGAGTTTCTTTAGAAACATATAGTTAGGCACCACTGATTTTCGTCATACTTATGGTATATTCTTCCAGACAAAGCATAGTATTTAATCATATTTGAAGTAATTTAACCTCAAGTGGAAATACTTTCTGTAATAAATGAACTAAAAGGCTATCTAATCGGGAGATCCAAGCATCATCTATTTAAATTAAAATTGGCAATAATTTGTTAATTTGTTTCAGTCTATAAAATATTTTTTAATTTACAGTTTTTTAAGATAAAATTTAACGAATCAGTTTTAAAAGTGACACTAGTACACATTTCTCAGTTCATAGACCCGCAAAACTTCCTAGCGACATCCTTAAATGGGAAACTTTTTTATTTGACAAGATATCTTAATGAAATTCGGTACAAATTATTGTTCAAAGCAGAGCCACGATCTCTGAAAGATGTTTAGATCGGATCTTTATAGCACCTAGTTGCGTTACAAACGGGAAACTGTGAAGGGTATAACAGCTTCGGTGCAAACTAAGTTAACGTTTTTTCTTGGTATTTTTATTTCTCTTCAAAATTTATTTTATTGAGCTTTTCGTTCACACACAACCATAATTTTCCGCTTCAATTCTTTTGAGACTGCAATTAACTAAATCGTCTTTAAATTTGTAGAAAAATAAAATAAGAAATAGTTTTAGTTATTTTTTGTGTTGTTTTTGTTTTATAATAACTCACTCACTCTTTGTACTTTGTACTTTGCACTGAAAGTCCCAGAATTCCTAAACTAAATACCGAACATCTTATACGAATTATGAATAATTAATTTTTTTCGGTAAATATTTACTTTGTTTCGTGCAACCGTGTATATCAGGCTTGAGCTTATTAAATATGCCGGTTACACAAACACAAATACACACTTAATTACATTTACACACACACTTGAACATTTAAGATGCTTAAAATGTCACGATCTTTATACAAGTATATAATAAATATTTGGTGACAATTCTAAGCAACTTTTCGAAGCACAAATGGTTGGCAATGTCATTTTTGAATTTTTGTATAATTTTTGCTTTAGTTGTTGTGTTGATTTTTCTTTTGTTGTATGGTTTTTTAACATTTACTAATTTTTTTATTGCTTTGAAGCGCAAAAAAAACTAATTTATTTAGTTATATGTGTTCATAGATGTATATGTGTGTATGTATATATATTGTATGTATATATAAATATACATATATGTGTATATACATATGTATGTATCCATTTATATACTTTTTTATGTTTATACCTTTTGTTTACATTTGAAAATTGCACTCAATTTAATTTTTAAACAATTATCGTTATTTCTTTGCAATTATTTCTTGAAATTCTTTATTTATAATATTTTTTATCGTTTCTCGAAGCTTCTTTGTCTCTCCGTATGCCCGCCTCGACCAAAACAAAAACGAGACTGGCATGTTGGAAACTAGCGTCTCTTGTATCTAGTGTCTAGCGCTGTCCAGCTGACTTGTGGATGCCGTTATTTGTTGCTAAGCCCCGGCTTCCGTTGAAGCTTTACTTCGCTTTACAGTATTTGTGGCTTAACATTGAAAAATATTCAGCTCCGCTGTTGAAATATGTTGAAATGAGGTGTACGTAATCAAACACATACCTGCATACGTGCATACCTGTTCAGCGAATGTACAATACATACCTATATATATATACAGGTATATACAGGGAGGCTCATGAATCATGCTACAAAACCAAACGGTAATAACTTTTTTCTGCGTGAGTAATCGACCGACTGTTTTTATTTGGCAGGTTAATATTTAGATTTTTTAAAAAATAATGTTTGGGATACCGAAAAGAAGGATTGGATAGTGTAGCGGTATCATGCTTTGCAGTCCGTCATTTCCGTCCAAGGGGAATTCAGACGGGATTTTGGCGGAACTCTCCGGACTTTGCCGAATCTGGAAGTATCACAAGAAGATCGTACCATCAATATCCATATGTTCGTGTTCAAGAAACGATCGCCGCTGTTGTATTGTCAATTCAGGAAAATCAAAGAGTTTCGACTAGCAAATTATCGGCCCAACTTGGAGTTAGCAGACGGTCATTACAACGGATAATTAATGATGATTTAAACCTGTTTCCATACAAAGTTAAAATAAAAAGTCGGTTTGCGGAGCTCCAACGAAAATTTTAAAACAAATTAATATCAAGAAACTTCACTTTCCGCTAATTCCCAAGACCTGACTGCACCATATTTTTTTTATGGGGTTATATCAAGCATGAGGTGTACAAAACAAAACCCAGAAATCTGACTGAATTCAAGCAGTCCATTAAATCGATAATTGAGGCAATTCCGATTTTAATCCTTCAGATCGCAATGAATAATTTTCTAATTGGGTGTCGGATATGCGTGGCTGAGCATGACGGTAATTTACGGTCCATCATTTTTAAACATAATTAATTATATAAAATAAGATAAAATTTACTATACAATATAAAAAATATATGTAATGCGTTAAATTAGGAAAAAGTTATTAAGATTTGTTTTTGTAGCACGATTCATGAGCCACCCTGTACTATATATATACAAATGTAAATGTTTACCCGTACCATGCAAAACTATTAGTTGATTAATTTGTTTATTTATCTTTGTTGTTTTCTTATGTGCAAAAATATGTTTGCAATGTTTATGAATAATTGTTTTGTTAAGTGTCACGCGTTGCAGGCGGTTTTGCATTACGGTAAGTGAGTGAATGAATTGAATAATGCAAAACAAAAGTTAAAAATAAAATGTTGTTTGCTTATTTGCACTATGGAATTTAATAGAATTTAGAATAAAGGGAAAGACGCTTTTTAAAATATATATACGTATTTTGATGTTGAAATTCAAGAAATTTACTTTCTTGTGACGTTTTTAGCACGAGACAAGCCACAAGCTAATTATGAAGTCCCAACAGATAAAATAAAATAAAATTATAATAAGTAAGGAAGGGCTAAGTTCGGATGTAACCGAACATTTTATACTCTCGCAANTGAGAAATGAGATATGCATATTTTGTGGATTCACAAAGTCTGGTTTAGATCTACAAAGAAATGAAACATCGGAGACCCTATAAAGTATAGTATATATATATAAATTATCAGCGTGACAAGCTGAATCAATTTAGCATTATCTGTCTGTCTGTCCGTCTATATATATGCGAACTAGTCGTAGTTTTTGAGATATCGATCTGAAATTTTGCGCACGTCCTTCGCCCCAAGAAGCTGCTACAATCTCCTAAAACATTATTCAGATCGAACCACTTTTATGCTATAATAAAAAAACCTGTGAAGGTTATTATAGCTTCGATTTAGACATAAGTGTTTCTCAAAATGATGAAAGCTCACTGTGAATTAATTTGCCGAATCGATTACACTTAATTCCATATTTGCGCAAATCTATGTAATTAAGTCCATTTTAATTTTCAATTTTTCATTGCTTAGTCATGATTATATGACTATGTGTGGCGTTGGAAATGTTTCTGTATATTATGTATCACGACTCCTACACAAAGAGCTTGTCGTATCAGCAATTTAAAGCTGAGATCACGCGGTTTATAAATAAGTAATCTTAGAATATACGTATAAAATTTTGTGGAGCATTTCTGAGTTTATTGGAAGAGTGTATGCATGTGGGTACAACTTTTAAAAAAGGCAATTAAATGTCTCATATATTTAATTAATTTTACATAACATACTTTATACATATATACTTTGGATTACAATCGCTATGCTATTTACCGCATTGCTTCCATTACTTGCTCCTTTATTAAAGCTACATCCACGTTTCTTATAATTACATAATTTTTAATTTTAATTGTTTATTCTTAATAACCACTTGTAAGTATGGCTTCACAGTAGATTTGTAATTAATTACCTAACATATATGATTATTTAAAATAATTACTACTTTCAACACGCTAAAGCCGTAAACACAATGTGTGGGGTGGCAGAGCTTTTAATGGAATCCGTTATATTCCACACAGCACTTTGTTGTACTCACATCAGCTTTTAATGATGTATAACAGATTTATATGTTTTCAAATTACATCCGGCTTATTTCCATATAGATTCGTATAAAAAGGTATATAGTTCACGAATGGCGTCCGAAATCGAATAGCCATCTGCTTGCAAGAGAGAGCATCTGTCCCGATTACATTGGTTTAGGAACGAGTTAGGTCGCAATTGTTCTCTTGCGTTCTAGCGTTGGACGCGTGAGTTTAGCTGGCTCTGGTCAATAACTGGTTTTTGTGCAACTGTGAGATCCGTTTAGCTTAGAGTAGAACGCAGGAGATCCAATGAAATGCTTCCTCTCAGTAAGGCTCATCTTGTTACAACTGTACAAGTTATTTTATTGAACATTGGCCAATAGGCACGTACATGGAGGGAGATGATGCGGAGGCATCCAGGCACTTTCTCCTCCATTTACCATTTTAATGCTTTTGGAAGACTGAAGTTCTAGAAGTTTTTTGATCAATACTTAGGAGTGTTTAAGTATCACAATTGACAGTCGTCACAGCTGCCCAAATGGGATCCTCTAAAACAAACCTATAAAACTGTTCCCGTATTAAATTCTAATTGGCGATAGGAATCGGTTTAATATTATCTATTTTGTCCTCATCTGAAATAAGTAAAGTTTAGTTTACGAACGC